GTCAGTTTTGTTTCCTATCACTCTCCATTGTTTTCGGTCTGTCTTCTCTACCTTAATGAAGAGAGAAAAATAGAGGTCAAAGAGGAAATCTATTTACCTGTTTCGACTTGATTGTCTTTTCTCTTATAGTTTCCAAAGTTGTGTGCGCACAAAGACACAATAAAGACATGCAGGGGCATCACTCCCTAGTTTTTTCTTCATAGAGCATTGGTTTCTTGAAATGAAAAACACTCCAACACCTGGTGACGGTGGCCGGAGCGATCGCCGGTGCCGGAGAGAGAGGTGGAAGAGGGTAAAAAAAGTCAAAGAAAAACAAAACATCAGAGAGGGTTTAATAAAACATCGGAATGGAATATCATATCGAACAGTTCATGTACAAATACTGATATGAATATATTTTAGAAATACATGGATACCTATAAAAGATATGGAACTGCTTARCATACAAATTACATAAATACATCAATAGTAATAAATTTAAGGCTAAATTATTTATGAATAAAGTGTAAACACATGAAAAACACACTTAAATAGGTTATATAAAGAGAAACATTACATTTGACAATACAGAGATTCTAGAACACTAATACATCATATAATAATTATCACTCCATTTCAGTATGTTTACCAAAAAATTGTTATAATTATATTTTTCTTTAATTTGTATTAAAACTTTGAGAAAATTTATTTATTTAACATTTTATGCAAATAATAACTCTAGTTTTTAAATAATAAATATTTTTTATTTTTAACATATAATTTATATGTAAAATAAAACATATAAATCATTTAAGGAAAATAAAATAAATTGTTTTTATAATTTTCAGTTTTTACTAATTTTTTAAGAAAAAATAAATCTTAAATTATTTATTTTATTTTTATAATTATAATTCTATTTTAGTTTTTATAATTATAATTTTCAACTTTTATTAAAGTTCAAAAACAATTCAAAAGTGGTCAATATACAATTTTATCAAATTAGATACACTTATGTATGATATATGGTGTAAATGTGTGATACAACCCAATACAAAGATGTATCATGTCAATTCACATGACTCTTCCCTCAAAAAAAAGGTTACACATGACTCATAAGATGCATACCCAATCGTAACATATTCTTTATGGTAACTGATGAGGGGTGATTTGGCCGTGCATCATCAATAACAATAATTTAAATCTTGCATAACAAAATAATTTTGAAAGATAAGGAGGATGAAAACAACATAAAAATAGAAAAAAAAAAGATATTTAAAGAAAATTTTTCCATATTCTAGTTTTTTTAGGATGAAGAGATTTACTGAATTAAGTGGCATGTTGAAACAGAGGTTCTGTGGCAGAAATGAGATCACATCTCCGCCCCACAACTCCCCACGGCACATCCCTGGAGATGTTCCCAATGCACAGCGGGGATGTGCCGTGGGGAGTTGTGAGGCGGCCCCTTATGGGGCGGAGATGTGAGCTCGGCAGAAATTGAATGAGCAGTCCCCTGTTCCACAATCACCGAGTCTTCCCGTTCCACATGCAACTTGCATAGATCGGATGATCGGATTACAAGGTCATCTAGCCGGCTGTTAAAGTGGGTGGCTTCTTGATCACAACGACCCCACTTCCAATTGCTGTTAAAATGGGTGTTAAATCGTTGATATAAAGTCATCTTCATTCCGAATCAGGCACCCACCACCAGAGGGACCTGGGTTACCTTGATACGCTCCATCTCTGTTGAGCTTAAAATAACACGCCCCCTAGGTGAGGGTTGCCATTTAACCTAGATACTAGCGGAAGGGTCACTGCCTTGCAGGGGCAAAATATGATGGTAAGTGGGTTGTCAAACTTTTTAATTAAAAGTTTAGGCTTAGTTTAAAAAGAATACAAATATATACAAAATAATATTAAATACAAGTTTTTTGCACTCTACATGTTTGTATTTGTACTCCTTCCAAACTGAGCCTTATTGAAAAAAAAAAAAACATCTATTTAAAATAAATATCTAGATAATAATGTATTTAAAGGGTCAGGCTGAACTATCAGGCTATCGAGTCCATGAACAGGCTTAGCCCAATTCGTGGCCCGACTTGGCCTAAGATTTGGCTCGCAGACCAGCTTGGCCCGCAGCACGGCATGGGCCCGTGTGGGCTCGAGCTAAAATAAAATTTGAAGATCTTTTTTAATTTTTTTGTCCATTTTTTAATTTATGTTAAAATTTTCATTGTTATTTTCAAAATTTTTAAAAATACATGGCTTAACTTGGTTTGTGGCTTGACCTAGCCTAATACTTGGCCTGTGGACCAACCATAACGGGAGATGTTCCCAATGCATGATAGGATGTGCTTGTGAGGTGCCAAGTGTAAGGAGTAGATCCAGTCTCAGACCAGCTTGGCCCGTGCCATGCCACGGGCCCGCATGGGCTCAGGCCTTATATTATATACAATAATTACATAATATATTAATATATATAATTTTATTATATTACTTCATTTTATTGTTGCATATATAAACCATTATACATAGAAAAATTCATATAAAATAAATTTTGAAGATATTTTTTAATTTTTTATCTATTTTATTAATTTATAAAAACATGGCTTAGCTCTGTTCATGGCCTGATAATAATTATATAATATATTAACATATATATAATTTAATTTTCAATTGTGTACATCAAAACACATATAAAATAAAATTTTAAGATCTTTTTTTAGTTTTTTGTCTATTATTTTAATTTATGTTAGATTTTTCATTTTTTTTTCAAAATTTTTTAAAAACATGGCTTAGCCTAGTTCGTGGTTCAACTTGGCCTAAGACTTGGCCTGCAGCACAGCACAGGCCTGCACGGGCTCAAGCCGTATATTATACACAATAATTATATAATATATAATTTTATTTTTAATTTTATTTATTATTGCATATTTAAACAATTGTATACATCAAAATTCATATAAAATAAAAATTTTAAGATCTTTTTTAATTTTTATCTATTTTTTAATTTATGTTAATTTTTTCATTATTTTTTCAAATTAAAAAAAAAACATGGGTTAGCTTGGTTCATGGCCCGACCTAACCTAAGACTTGGCCCAAGGACCAACCTGACCCATTGCACAACATAAGTTTGCACGGGCTGACCCCTTAAAGTATCCTATGGGAGGGAAGTACGGCCTAGCTCAGCACAGCCCATACGACATGGTCCAACACAGCTCTATTGTAA